GGCGGTTCACCGTGCACTCCTGGAGAACTGGCCAAGTGAACGGGCAGTGCAGATATGCATTTTAAGCTGAAACAATTTTTAATAGCCACTAGATGGCACTCTGTGTCCATTACATTTAAACTGAATATAGGTTTAGTATTCTGACCTTCAGATTGTTTATATTCTGGCTGTTTTTGGTATTTTGCTTGTCAGCTGTGGCTGGGGAGGGGGGAAATCGTAATGTAAACAAACGCAGCTCGGCTCTTTAAATCGCTGCGTGCTAATGAAAACATTAAAACATTCTCGTATCTGATTTATATCCAATTCCTTTTTTATTCTATTTTTTTCCTCTACTTTGTACCGTCTTTTACGGTTACTGTGCGGAGTTTTTTTACATTTTGCATTGCCTTCAGATATATTTCCGTTCCTTCTTTTTTTATTTAGGAAAGCCTCACCTCCAGTCTATTATGACCAGAAGGAGGCGCTATTTTTCAGAGGAAGAATACCCTAGTATGGTTAGTGAACCATTTACTAACGCAAATGAGAGTACTGATTCATTTTCTAAGGAGTTAAAAAGTGATACTTTTTCTAAGAGTTACAAGGTGATACTTCTCTGTGCTTCAAAATTTACCACGCTCGTTTTCATTTTAAATTTGTTACTTCTTACTGTAAATAGTCTTTATTGTGTTCTTTTTAATAATTTTAAACTTTATTGATAGATTTTATCAATTAAAACTTTAGAATAATTTGAATAGCTCTTCCGAAAAGTATTATGGAAGATAAGCAATTTTTTAAGTATATTTCCATGTAAAATAAAGAAATAAATGTTTTAAGGGCTAATTTTAACATATATAAGAGCTCAAGTAATAATCTAAAATGATACCAAAAATTACGATGCTAGAAGCGAAACTTTTGTTTTTCTGATTTTTGTTATACTCGTAAAATTAGGCTTAACGATGCAAAACCTCCGTCCTGTACGGTGATTGCCTTCGATTCTCTTCCGTCCCGCACGAGCGTTTTAAACAAAGGTGCGCCGTCGCGAAAAGGTTAATTATGACAAAGCACACTAGGGCTATCTGCCTAAGGGTAGGGATGCCTTTGTGGAGGACTTTCTAAGGAAAACAGGCTCGTATACACGTTACACATGAGGAAAACCACGAAAACGCCCATGCAGCCAGCCCGTTCGCGGGATTCGAACCTCGAACCGAACTAACTACCAGTGTTCAGCGACTTTACCGCTCGGCCGCTGGTGGGCCCCAAAATATCTAAATGAAAATAATCATGTGTTAATAATTAATTATAAACATAAAAGTGAAGAAAAAGAACAAATACAAACATTTACACAAGAGCAGACACCAAAGACAAAAACAGGGGAAAAAAGTGTTAACAACAAATTAGTAAAATAAACCAAATAGTGATGGCAATAAAATGCAAAAATCATACACTGATGACCACTGCCCGGGGCTCACCGTGAATAATTTTTATCACAGATTTACATAATTGTGCGAAATCTTTATAGCATGAAAAGGGATTTTCAAAATCAATGTTTTTATTGTTTCTTAAGCCATCAAAGTAGGGACAGACATCGAGGAAATGCTTAGCATCACCAAACAGACCAAATAGTTTACATTTATCTTCGTTCTGTATCTTAAACCCAGCGAAGTATCCCGGGAAACGCCCATGTCCGGTCAGAAACTGGTGAACTTCAAAATCATAGTTTAAAAAGGTGTTCTCTCCCTCCTTTCTGCATGCCTTTGTGGTGTGATGGTTAACACATTCGGCGCGTGTTCTTGAGGTCCAGGTTCGAGTTCTGGTGAGAGGCACTGCATATTTATCATGTCTTCTGCTTCAAATATATCTAATGTCTCTAGAACCATACAAAAAGTGACTGTTTTTATTTAAAAGGCAATGACAGCGAAATGAGAAAATTTTCTCAAAATCATAAAAGTTATGCTGCGAAATAGCAAAAACGGAAAATGTTGGAAACTTAAAAACAAAACAAGTTCTCCCTCAGGGGAAAAAAAGGGGGAGACGGAAAGTGTTCAGATTTTAACGATCGCCCAAAGAATTTGCTAAAGTTTTACGCTGTCGCTGAAATTGCAGCAGCAGGTTTCCGAAACACTTGGACCCGCGTTGTGTTCGGCTATCAGCTGAGCCACTGTTTGACGCCGATTTTTCTGTACCAAGTGAGACACTCTCCGACGTCCTTTTTCTCTGATGACGCGTGGATAAACCAACAACTTGGTATCTACTGCTGGTTTCTGTGTCATAAATATTAACAACGGCAGATCCCGAACAACCAACCAGTCGTGCAGTTTCAGAGATACTCGTTCACGTTACAATCTGCCCTGTATCAAATTCGCTTAGATCAGCAGCCTTTACCATCACTCGAAAAAGAAAGTGCAAGAATGATTCCTTACTTTGATAGTTTTTAGAAGGCCTGTGTCAGCAGGAAATTTATTCTGTTGTTGCAGGCACCTCAAATAGCCCCGGTTTGAGACTTGACATTCTTTGTATCATAGAAAAGACATTTATCAGGGGATTGCAGGGATCAAAAGAGGAATAACCCTGTCCAGTGTGTTGTGAGACTGTATGAGCGTGGACGATGAATTAAATCGTGACTGCGAGGTAAAAATGCTACAGTACTGTGCAGGAACCAGACGTGAGTATTATAAACAGATGTGTTAAGTGGGATTATAACAGTGCGTAGTATATGGACGTGAATTTATGTCAATTTCAAGCAGCTCATACCTAAAGTTGTCACAGTAACTGGCATCCTCGTTGGTGACGGCTTTATTATAAAAAGTTACTGTTGAGTTTGTTAATGAAAGTAACCAAATGTTGGATTTTGAGGTCTCTGTGCAATTGCGCACTTCGAATGAAGCTTCGAACTACTTCCAGTAGTTTTACGCAAAAAATTATTCTCAAAAACCTACAATTTGTTGATATCAATCTTGGAGGCAGCGCTCCAAGCAGGGGAAGCATATATTAGGGTGGATCTTAACCTTTTGCGGCACAGTGTGTCCGGTCTGGACACACCTAAAAATTTCACTCTGTACGCAGAGAAAAATTGAATGAAAAAGGATTTATAGGTTATTATAGGTTACTTTGAACCGTCTTTATTTATAGTAGATGGCAGCTCAACACAAACTAGTCCATATATTTTAGGCATGTTGAGTTTTTTAAGACCCTCATTTTTCAAAGAAATCTTCCAGATTTTTTTTTTTTTTTAGGGTATAAAAGGAATTGTTTAAAAAGAAATTTCTGTGTTATTTTTTTGGCTGTATGCTAATCTCCTTGTTCTATGTTAGTTTAAAATTTTTACCTTGAAATCTTGCCTAAAATCTAACGGCGAACCTTAGGTGGGCGTAGACCGGGTTCACCGATCATCTAGGACAACTGAGAGTCTGTATTCTTTGTTTCTCCGCATCTCATCGGTCAGTTCATTGACAACAATGCTCGTTTCAGCACTCTTTTCGAAGCTCTCACTTTGGGCACACCCACAGAATTAAACGATAAATGCTATCTTCACAAAATTTTACTTGTGTACTCCTCTAGGCCTAATTAGAGTGCCTACTTTTTTTTTTTTAAATCAAAACTCCAACTTTAAAGGGTTAATAAAGAGGTATAAATACGCTTTTTTTACGGGCTTGATCTAATGGGGTTGAGGAGTCGATTAATGTTCTGAGCTTTCTTGAAACACCGATTGCCTTTCCAATAGCCATGGGTATGTGAGTTTTCCATGTAAGACAGCCGTTAAAACGGACTCCCAAATAGGTGGCCTGACTTTGGGCTTTCGTGAAAGAGAATGAGATCTTCATCCATGTTTTTTCGTCTGTCACGTCCTATGAGGAGATGATTCCTTACCTTCTCCCGCAGCAGTTAAATACCATTCCCACTTAATACCTCTACGTTATCCAGACGTGTTCATTGAGAAATGTGAGGACGGTCATAATGTTTTGACTCTTCAGTGTATGCTTGCATTTATTTATATTCTGATTATGCTCTAGGTTATATATTTTTGAGAAAGTGTAAGGGGACTGTTGGAAAAAAACCATTCTTTAAAAAAAGTGTCGATGGAATAAAAAGGTTGGGAACCCCACTTCTGGAATAACTATAATTCTCTTAAATATTCGCATAGTTCATATATGCTGAATACGTCCTAGAAATATTGATGCAAAAAAAAATTATATAAATAAATTTAAGCAAGAAAATTTCCTCCCTTTTTTTATATACTAATTTTATCGTTCGAAAATCGAAAGAGGAAAATTAGGCAAGTCATTTAATTTCCGAAAGATGTGGTCACAACCAAAACATAAATGAAATATATTCATGGATAAACTACGGTAATTATCGTAATATTACTCTTTTAAAAGAAACCCACATTTCACGAAGAATACACAGTAATATTAGCATTATAATATCTAATAAGTTATCTTCGTTTCTACTTCCCTCTAACTGCAATTTCGCCCGTTCTTATTGTTGTCTCTGCTACTTCTTGAGCCTCCAATCACCCATAAACTGTTAGAGAAGGTGAATGTGCAGCCGACTCGGCGAAATTGCAGACGGAATGTGAATCTGCTTCGACGTGATGGGTCAGTTCTTGTATTACGCCAGCGTATAAAATTCGATAGATAGAAGGGAAAGGTTCGGCGTGACTTTCGCAGGTATCTTGCGAAATATTATTTTTGTTAGTGAGGCGAAAACAATTACTACACGGAGTATTCAAAATTCAGGGAGATCGTTCTCTGAACGCAATTTGAAAGAGGAAAAAAACGCGAATATTTTTCAAATTTTCGGAAACTGGCGCTAAAAAATTAGGTGATTGCGATAACACGTGCACATCCAAAGATTTATAAAATCTAAATTAGGAACAAATGAAACAAAATATTAACTAAAATTATTATAGAGTGGGCATTCGTATTTTCATGATTGTGTAGAGTATTGAATATGTCAAAATGCATGTTTTGCTTATTTGTTTCGTTATAAATATTGATTTCAGAATTTTGTTTTTCTTCCAGACGTTTCATACTCCAAGTTTCGGGGACGAAGAGTTTGAAATTCCGCCTTTAACTTACGCTCCAACTGCAGCTGCTACCAGGTGTAGTGGTCAAGGAGTTTTCGGAAACCAGGTAAGCGAACGATATTAATTGTAAGCATATTTCCCAAATGATTTACCAGTTAACCTGTTTAGAATTCCAGAAAGTAATAATATTGCTCCAGTTCTGAAATTTGTCAACGTGTGACATTTTTAAACCTTGCTTTCGAAACATTAAAAAAGTTAAATTCCTTTAATTCTCACCAGGGGAGTATGCTTGGAAATATGGTAAATAATATATTACTTATCCTATGTAATTTGGTAATAGGCTTTCTTAATGAATAAATTATTCATCTGAATTAATTGGATAGTTTTCTAAATTGCTCTTTACAAAATACTATAAAGATAGCTTTCGTTAGAGTTAAAAATTTAAATAAAAATTTTTTTGTTGTTTAATAAAAACTTTGTTTGATCATTTCAAAAGCACTCATTAACTCATTATGTATTAGTCATTTCCTATTACTTAAAGCTTTTGCTTTCTGATTTCGAAGCCTTTTCCTTCAGTTTAATTACGGGGGAAGGGAAAAAGACAAGCACAGACAGATTGAACTTTCGAAATGAATGTGATTTATGACGAATTGCAATAAGATCGAAAACTCAAAATTTACTGCCTTTGCCGCCGTTTCAACATTGATTTATTAGTACCAGCTAAGCAAACTCACTAACCATTTATGATTATAAAGTGTTTTTTTTTCTATACAAATTGTTTACTGCTATCTTAAGAACCGCAAATGAAACTCATTTTATATGGCATATACCTTACCACGGGGTCTTACCAAAGATCTTTTGTAAACAAAATAAAACTAGTAAGATGATCTTTTAAAAGTTCATAAAGAACACAACTAAACAAGATCCTCACTTTAGAAGAAGCATTGAAGCATTCTCACAATTTCAAACTCAAAAGTAAAAACAAAAGTGATACATTCTTTAATATTACAAAAAGTTAAATTCAAAATCAAAAGGAGATCAAAATTTACATAATCTTTTAAATTAAAGTTTAACAAAAAGTAGTTTTAATTAAACATTTAAAGATCAAACAAAAAAATTGAGTTATTTTAAATCTGCAAAAACTTTAAAACAAAATGATTGGAAATGTTTACTTTTGATTTAAACAATACTTAAAATGTTTACTTTTGATTTTGGTATTTTTGTGTTTCAGGGTTTTTATTTTTACGTTTTTATGGTTTTTACTGCAATAGAAGTCTAAAAATTCTAATTAAAATATATTGTAAAAGAAATTTATTATAACAGTTTATGGTTTAATTGAATTTCTGTTCTTTGGAGATGGTATTAAAAAGTTTTCTAATGATAAATTATATGTTTATTACTTGGCAGCTTTACCGCAAGTTATGGGCGTATTAGTTTATTCTTAATTACTCTGTTTAGAATTTTCATTCTAATTTAATAGCAGCTTTGAGCGCTATTTTAGTACAGCCTGCTATCAATATATTATCTCCAAGAAACTTTTTTGTTTTTCTCGCCAATTTAAGGCTAAACTGTCTAAAACGACTTCCACATTATTTACGATAACCCTTCTTACATTTCATCACAGTTACATTTCCAAACATTTCGTTTTGACGTTTTTGCAGACATGTAAGTTGATTTTAATTTCCTTCATGAGATTGATCTGTAAATGTCTAATTAACTACTTTTTGTTAAACTTTAATTTGAAAGATTATATAAATTTTGATCTTCTTTTGATTTTGAATTTAACTTTTTTTTAATATTAAAGAATGTATCACTTCTGTTTTTACTTTTGAGTTTGAGTCTGAAATTGAGAGAATGCTTTTTCTAAAGTGAGGATCCTGTTTAATTTTGTTCTTCATGAACTTAATTTAAAAGTTTATCTTACTTGTTTTATTTTGTTTATGAAAGATCGTTTGGCTCAAATGGATTAATGTCTTTCTATTGATTTAGATTGTACTTGACTTCTGATATGGCTCTGCAGAATATTAATTGGGTCCTTACTTGGAAGAAGGACGAAACACTCTCGCTTAATTCAGTTGTTAATTGATAGCAGATTGGTTAGTTCCCCTTGACGAGTCAAATAATCTCTAGTCAATGACAATAACTACTTATTCAATACTTAAAATGTTTACTTTTGATTATGGTCTTTTTGCGATTCAGGATTTTTCTTTTTACTTTTTTATGGTTTTTTTACTAAATAGAAGTCTAGAAATAATAATTTAAAATACTGTATAAAAAAGTTAGGGTTTTCATCCGCAGAGAACCCGTTGGCGCTTCGGGAAAGAACCCGTTGGCGCCGTTGCATTTTTGCTCGCCAAGCTCGCGGTTCATCGACGATAAGCCGGGCCGTAAGCGTGATATTTTGTAAACGTGATTTTTAGTGCATGTAAATTCAAGTTAGCAGACAAAACAATATATTAAGCATATGGTAGTAAAAATTCGTAGATGTAAATCTAACCGGTTAAACGTGATATACGAAAATTAATTTGTATTAAATTCAAGTTAGCACAGAAGCATTTATAACGGAAATAAAAATTCATTTAAAAAACATAAATTAGTATTAATATACTGAAATTAACTGGTTAAACGTGATATACGAAAAAAATTTGTCTTAAATTACAGTTAACTCAACAATATATTCCTTACACCAGCAGTGATTTGCTAATTTTGATGACGATGGCGATGCATCAAACTATTCTGTCATCTTATATAATCAGTAATATTTTTTGTTTCAATTTAATCATTTATTTATGTCACACCTGCCATCCTCTGAAAGGTTATTGTTAGAAAAGCATTAACAATATATTATCTTGTTAAAATTTTACGCCGTAAAAATTTATTTATTCTCATAATTTTAGATGACAATAACAAAAATAAAAAGCATTACTTAATTATTTAAAATGCACATTTTTGCGGCCTACGAAAACAGATTATTTTAGAGGTTAGAAACCTCAGGGTTCTTAGAGCTGTTAATAATTAAGACAACGTGAACAGCCGTGTTACAAATTAGAATTCACCCCTCCCGCCGTATTTTCTTCCTTTCATACCGAACCGAGAACCGGCATCTTATCTACGAAAATACTATCTATTCGTTGTTAAAAAAATTCAGAAAAAATAATAATAAATAAGAGAATAATAATATAAATCTGCAAATGCAAACAACGACAGTGATATTTCAACAAAATTTGAATGCAAGAGGAATAGTTGCAAACTTCGAACAAGCGAATAGGATAAATACTCTGGGTTACCAGGTTGAACTATTATCGTCAAAGTTGGCGATGTTTACATTTACCGGGTTCTCTGCGGAAGTGCTTCCAAAATTTATATTAATTTAGGGTTTTAATTAAATTTCTGTTCCTTGGAGATGGTTATACTTACTGCCCCTCCTTACTCAACTTTAAAATCCTTACCCAGCTTTTATTTTTCACAATCATTTGTCGTAGAACTTTGTCGTAGTGTTGTTTAAAGAAGTGTTATAAATGAGGAAAATATAAACTTAATCCCTTTTGATGGAAAAATTCATGTTTCGACAATGCCAAATTTAAAAAACAAAAAATTAATTTTGTCCGAATAACAAAATCTAAATTTTAATACTGTCTTCCGGTTTCTATACTATCTTTGTAAACGTTTTATGCTCGTTATGAAAGAATAAAATTATATAAAGTTTGACTCCCATAGGACAAAAACTGACTGGGATACGTAATTTCGAAATTTGCAATTTTTGATATCATTTTCAACTTGCCTTGGAATATTGGTTGATTAAGTTAGAATAATTCGAAGAAATAAGTTTAAAATGAAGTGCAGCATAAAATGTTTAAATTAACAGAACGTACTAAGAAGTCATGTAGTATCCACATCAGATTCTTTTTTAAATTTTCCCCTCCCTTCATTAAATAAATAGCGATCTTATTCACAAAATGCCCCAGCACGATTCAGTCATTATGTAGCTTTATTTTCATTAATTAAAAATGAAAAATATGTGTACTTCATTGAATTTTTTATACGATTACCAGATAATGATTGTAACGTGGAAACGAGTCAGTTCCCTTAGAAAGCCTTCTATGAAGGCAGATAGCCCTCGAGGCTTCGCCGTAACCATAATCACATTCATCTCCTAATATCTTAAAACGGATATCAAAAATGTTCGCAAATTGTAAATCACATAATTAAATTATAACATCCTATCGATTTTATTACAAGAATCTTAAAAGATGACAGTTTCATAATATTTCACTTGCTTTCTAAAATGAAAGCGTTAAATTTAATAAATTCTGTTTTAAACGGCTTTGTCAATCATGGCTGTCTATGGCTTCGAAACAAAGAAAAAATAAATTAAACAAGATGATGTTTTCTGGTGTTTTTGAACACTGAGTTAGCATTTTATCTGTTGATAATGTGAATAAACTTTGTGAACAAACATGCCAAAAGAACCAAAACATTAACCCAAAATTTGGAATTTTTTTTAGAACTCCAAACGCTAAATATTTTTTATAGGTGAAGATATCAGGAACAAAGAATCCGCGGATACTTTATATTCCAAATATAAACAGTACATCAAATATATATGTAAGATAAAAAATATGTAAATCAAAATTATAATTTGAACTAGTAAGGGATAACCCATAATTTCCCATCTCTATTCTAAAAATCGTATTTTCTGGACTGCATCATTTTGTTAGCAATTTCCACAGTTTACCGCCAGATGGCGTCATGATCATTCAAAGCGTTTGTAATAATGAAAACGTGACGGAGAGAATGTAACTTTTGTGGGCGCGGTGTAGATATAACACTTAGTCGTTTAATATTCAATTTCGACCATTAAATTTATAAGGTATTTCTTTCGCCTTCTTCGCATGCCTTCCTGGTGTAAGGTTCAGCACACTCGGCGCGTATTCAAGATGTCCGTGTTTCGAGTCCCGGCGAAGGCCACTGCTCATTTTTCATGTCTCCGGCTTCGAAGTAGCCTAAAACAAAGTAACATCCTTAATAAATCGATTTTTAGTGCAATTTTTACATTATTATAATAGACAAATGGCCCTGCTAATACAGAGTTGGATTATAAGATGGTTAAACGATGGTTCTTTAATTTAAACAACACAAGTTTTTAAATTTCCTCATCGTACCACTTGTCGTGTGACGACATTCAGTCAACTGCATTGCCATCCGTGTGTCCAGCGACAATTAGATTAAGGTTGGGCAAGTTGCATATGCAATAAATAAATAAATAAATAAACAAAAATCTGAAAGTTTTGGATTTTACATTACGCCCAAAGGGGCGTTTATTTTAACGTTTTGTGTGTTATCTTTATTAAATATCATATTCTTCGCACTTAAACCACATAAAATTCAATTCAACAGCAATATCGCAAAATAATTTAGAAACAGCATATCTTTAGGATTTCCGATACACAGTTTCGCGCGCTGGAGATGATATTTTTTTTTTTTTTTTTTCTTTTTCTGTACGGTGTTGCTATTGCTCGCTTTGAAATCGTTGAGTTTGTTAATCAAAAGTTCGTTAAAGCTTTACAAAATATGAAATAGGTAATAAAAACATTTCTAAATTTGGGCTTCTAGATGCCCATATGCGAGTCGAGGACTACATTATTCAAAATTTGCTGCCTCTAGGTATCGTCGTTTTTTCACAATGCGAGAAACATACATTTATGCAGATTCTTCATTATTTAGTTTTTTTAAATATAGTACACTGACTGCCAATAAGTATTTGGACACCTATGCAAATGACGATATCTGCGGCCTTAAGGTACGTTACGGACTCCGCCGGTATATATCGTGTAGGAAACAGCATCGGCTCTAGTCGCATGCAAGATGCCTCGCAGTTCGGAGCTCTCTGATTTCGAGAAAAGTATAATTATAGGGTATCACAAATGTGGCCGATCCTTAAGGGACATATCTAGCGATTCTGAAGTACCCAAACTCGACAGGGCCTATGTGATTAAGAAGTGGAAGGTGAGCGGTGATTGTCGGAATGTGCCCCGAGTCGGCAGACCAACGAAACTGGGAGATAGAGACCGACGACTGCTGTTTCGAGAAATTCGGAAGAACCGCACCCAACCGATGGTCCCCATCCGCGAGGAGTTTCAACAGGCATCCGGGAGTATTGTTTCAATGAATACCATCCGTAAGGAAGCGCATCTGCTTGATTTTCATGGTCGTGCTGCTGCCCATAAGCCTTTGATCACAAAGTCTAACCGCGCTGCTCGGTTAATGTGGTGCCAAGCGCATCGAAATTGGACCGTAGATTAGTGGAAACGGGTTCTTTGGAGTGACGAATCAAGGTTCACCCTTTACCTTTCGGATGGTAGGGTCTGGGTCTGGCGTCTACCTGGAGAACGTCTCTCCCAGAATGCATTGTGCAACAGTCAAGTTCGTCGGAGGTGGAATTATGGTCTGGGGGTGTTTTCTCTGGTATGGGCTGGGACCCTTGGTCCCCATTCATGGTAAGCTCAACTCCGATGCCTACTGCACTATTTTGGATGACAATGTGCTTCCTACGTTGTGGCAGTTTTACGGGTTGGACCCTGTTACTTTCAGGACGGACAATGCCAGTTGTCATGTTTCGACGTTAACCAAGGCTTGGTATGGTGCCAATTGAGTTCATCGAATGGACTGGCCTGCCCAGAGTCCAGACTTGAACCCTATCGAGAACCTCTGGGACGAAGTTGCATTGCCGAATTTAGGGGTGCACTACCCGTGCAAAATCGGTGAAGGATTTTCTATGTCTTCTCCAAGCCGAGTGGAAGAAAATACCACTAGCTGTCATACAAAGACTTGTGGAAAGTATGCCTCGGAGGGTCCACGCTGTAATTACCTCTCGTGGAGGCTCTACCAGCTATTGATTTTGAATAAAGTTAGCTTTTCTTTTCTATCACAGGTGTCCAAATACTTATTGGTAGTACGTGAAACAACGCAGAAAGTGAACCAACGCAAAATATCAAAACGAAATTAATAGTCTTTCTGGGCTAACGATCTTTGGGCTAATGAAATAAGTAAATAAAAATTATGGATGGTCATAATATCTTGTCGTTGCGGATATTTAGTATCGTTGCGAGCGTACGGACTCCTAATAGACTGAATGCACACAGGATCGATGATATGCTGATAAGATTTATGTTATCAAAAGAAACACTTCAGAATTCTGGAACATTCCACAAAAGTACTCGTAGAGCTCTTTACGGTATCATACAGTGTGATAAGTCGTTACATTTCGAACTATAAGAACGTTAAACCCAAGATAATACAAAGCGCGCCTAAAGAGCGAAGCTAACCCGGAGATATCTCAATACTCCGAACTCACACTGAGCTAATAACTTCGAACAGATGGTTTCTCCGATCTTATGTAGTTTTTCACCCGACAACCGAGATATTTCTAGTACTTTCTACTTCTCGGAATTACTGGATAGCATATGAGGGCCGAATTAGTGTTTGCTACACAGAGCATCAATTACACTTATCCAATTACAATACCCATTACAGTTATACAAAGACTAGACCAAAATGTCGCCAAGTGTTCGCCAAATTCGGCGACTTTCTTTGATTTATCGGGAAATTCGCGAGATAGCTATTTAACATTAAGTTATGTTAAATAGCTATTTAACATTAAGTTATGTTAAATAGCTACTCTAGATTTTCATGTCGCATACAAAAAAACAAAAAAACAACAACAAAAAAAAAAAATTTCACATATAATCACACTAAAATCATCTATCTACGTACAAAATTTATAACATTACAATAAAATCCCATGAAATATACTCTTTTGGATAAAATTTATGAACAGGAGGAACTTTATACGACTTACAGAACCAGTATTTTGAGTCCTACCACCTACGGCTTAAGTCGTGCTATGTTTAAATTTGGAAAATTATAATAAAACCTTCCATTCCTCAATTAAATTATTTATACAATTAATTACAACAATGATCGCAAAGATATTTTTCATTTTCTTGTCAATTCCAACACATAAGTCGTGTACACAAGGCACTGAATCGTATTCTCTTCGCGAGCTTCCTCACAAATATTACTGGCAGACGATCACGATGTGAAACAATATGGTTGACTAGGGGATAACTCGTTTTACCGAAAGAGGTACAGTTAGCTTGATATTACGCCTAAAATTTAAAAGGCACGACTTGAGCGGTGATACGATTTTCGTAACCTTATCCTCAGCATGTCTCTTTCACAATATCACCTATGTTTGTTCGGTATTCCAGTGACTAAAATTATCGTTTCCATCATAATCAATAATGCATGATTACACTTGAAATGTTACGTTTCAGGAGCTAAATTTATAAATTATCATTAACCCTTTGAATTAAAAAAAAAAATTACCCCGTTTTCTGACCAGGTGAACAAAATATGTGATAAATAGGCGTTTGCATGGTTTTCTCCATGTATAACGTGTATACGAGCCAGTTTCCCTTTGAAAGTCCTCCACTAAGGCATCCCTCCCTTTTGGCAAATAACCCTCGTCTGCTTTACCGTATTCAAGTAAACTAAACCGTGAAAGCGAATTCATTGGTGAAATAAAGAGTAAATGCAAAGAATGGTGCAATCGTCAAAAAACATTTAAAATAATTGTATTGTTACGAATTTTGTACATAGATAAATGATTTTAGTGCAGTTATATGTGAAATTGTTGTAATTTACTGTACACTTTATAACATGAAAATATAGAGAGATGATGCAGTGCCGGAAAAATAGGAATACGGGGAACAAATGTGTCTAACATTGAAAGTTAATGGCTAATTTGGCGAGATATCGCCAAACTAGAAACGGTTTTGGCAAATAAATTTTGCGACAAATCGCAAAAAGCCGCCAAACTTGGCGAAATTTTGGTTTAGTCTTTTTATATTACCGTAATAGGTATTGTAATTGATTTCAGATGCAACTGCAACCGTTCCCGGCCTCATATGCCTTCCAGTAATTTCGGGAAGTATTAGACATTTCTAGGCGGCCGGGTGAAAACGATATAAGACTGAGAGCATCTCCCCTCCGTTGTTGTGGTTGTGAGTTGTTAATGCAGAGCAACTTCGGAGTATTGAGTTATCTGTGAAAGCTTCGTCTTTTGGAGCCCTTTGCATTGCGTTGTGTTTAACGTTCATAGTAGTTTGAAGTGTAACTGATGGTTGTACTCTGTGATACTGTAAACACCTGTGCGAGTATTTCTGTGGAAAGTTCCAGAACTCTGACGTGTTACTTTTGATAAAGTACATTTCTCAATCTATCATGATGTGCATTCAATCTATTACGAATCCGAACGCACGAAACACTATGTTAATGTCTATTGGCGATGTCTGGAAGTAAAATGAGAGGAGAAACGCTTAAAAATTCAGGCAAAAGTTAAACGTTTCGCCTTTGATTCGAGTTTGTTGCCATTTGACAAAGTTAAAATATTTATTTTTCAAACTGAATCTGTCTGTTGTGGATTAACAAACTACGCTATTTCAAAGCAATAAATGCCGTTCTTAAGAACATTGGATTATTACTTTTGAATCGGAGTGATTTAAATAATAAAAATGTATTTAATTCATGATCTGTCTAATTAAATATATTCAACATTTTCATAGAATGATGTTGTATATTTTCTATTATTTATTTCACATTTTGTAAAACTTTTAATTACTTTTTGATTAACAGACTCAACGATTTGTAAGTGAGAAGTGGCAACACTCTACGGAATTAAAAATTTTTATCTCCAGCGCGCAAGACGGAATTTCTAATTCTGGAATTTATCGGAAATTTTAAATATACGCTCTTTATAAATATATGTGATTTCGCTTTGTATATGGCATAAGGGGGGGTTAGTTAAGTAAGTGCAACAGCAGACTGGTAGACGGCGAGCTCAGCGAGAGCGCAAAAAACCTCAGTTCTCTTAGGTGACGGTTAAAATCTGAAACCTTTCACATTTTGTATTTATTTATTTTAACTTAGGTTTTTAACTATTTGAGTTATTAATGTTAATAATTATGTTCAGTGATATATATATATCAACACAACCATAATGTTTACTATTTTGTCTTTTCATGGTCCAGGTTCCTGTGGAATATTTAAAGCGCAAGCTAAGTTGTGACCAAATCTACGTCTATTTACCGAGGCACGAAGAGAATTTCACCGATTGCAGGATTTACAACCAACACGTATGTATTCATTTTTATTTCCTCGTATTCCATTAAGAAGCGCACCCTTTCCACTTCTTTGTGTATTCTAGCTTCCGTGAATTGTAAATACAGTACAAAATCCGAAATCCGGAAACGTCAGGACTTCTGCAATACCGGATTTTAGATCATCAGTTTAAATCTTAATAATATGACGTGCAGACCTGCAACACTGCGGCTTCACTCATTGTTTAGGTCCACTGGAACAATGATACACCCCTTACGTACACAGGGCCGGTGCTAGAGTAGGTGCAACCTCCGCTGCCGCACCGGGTATCAGAACTGTACAGAAGAATTAGAGGTGACAAAATTTTTAGAATTTGAGAAGGTAACCCGTAGAAGAATTTTGTACTCTGACGTGTAATCATAGAGATTACACGAGGTGGTAAAACTCTAACTAACTCCGGCACTGTCCCTCCAGCAACTACTCAGTGACCCATCCTAGCCAGCATCAATCCTGTCTATCTATCACAAGAACAGCTCTCGACAGTTAGTCTTCAAATGTCTGTTGCCGTAGAAACAAAGAATATGTTTTGTTAAGAAGGAAAGCTTCGCAGCAGCAGGAGTGGCTCCATTCGATAGAAAAGGGAAACAGCTGCGCATGCGTAAAATATCTGTCGCCAAAAAGCGCCAAAGCTCGAAGCTGATGTCGAAGTTCGAACAGTTCGACGTTTATATCAAGAGTTTAAAGCTGTGTGGCTCCATGTTTTTTACCCTCCATATTGACGGATATAAAATCAGACCATCAAACTACGATATGGATAATGTAAGTTCAACAGCCAAGTGAAAGTGAAACTTCACCTAATTTTCTTATTCATCTTAATCCGTGTCCCTCAATTTCCTGTACACGTGACGGAGGGGGAAATCTCGGCTAGGTTCAGTACATCACAAAGGGAGAAATTCTCGCCAACAGGTGTCGTCGCCAAATCCCTTGGCGAATTTTCCCTCTTCTTTCTAGCGGGGTAAAAGACAAACTGGTTTACATTACGTCTATGGAGCCAAAGAATATGTATTGTTAAGAAGAAAAAGCTTTTGGCCATTTGGACAATTCGCGGCAGCAGGAGTGGCTCTCTTCAAACGAAAATGGAACACAACCTGCGCATGCGTGAAATATCTGTCACCAGAAAGCGCCAAAGTTCGAAGCTGATGTCGAAGTTCGAACAGGATCGACGGTCATGTTTATCAAGAGTTTAAAGCTGTGTGACTCCATTTTTTTCCCTACATATTGACAGATATAAAATCAGACATCAAACTGCGACATGAATAATACAAGTTCAACTAGTAAAGCAAAAAAGCACACAAATTCGAGTTTAAATTATCGCGAAAAGTCAAAGAACGACTCATTTTAACCCGTATTCCTCAATTTCCTGCACATGTGGTTTTCCACACACAGGTGGAAAATCTCGGCCAGGTACATCACAAAGGGGGAAATTCTCGCCAACAGGTTCCGTCGCCAAATCCCTTGGCGAACTGTCACGCTTCTTTCTAGCGGCGTAGAAGACAAACTGGTTTACATTACGTCTATGGAGCCTTTCCTTCTTTACATAGACTTTCTTTGATGGAGGCCTTTCCTTCTTTACATAAACTTTCTTTGATGGAGGCCTTTCCTTCTTTACATAGACTTTCTTTGATGGAGGCCTTTCCTTCTTTACATAGACATTCTTTGGTAGAAACGAGCCCTAACCTATTTTTTATAGAATAGCTTTTCAGTTTGCCATCTTGTCGCACTTAACATTTTACTGACCAATCGCGTATTAATCGGCTTTTCATCGCCAAGGCCTACCGACCGATAGCCTATTAATCACTTTTTTTCCGCGGGGCTACCTAAAACTAGCCTATCAATCTGTAGCCATGGCGATAACAATTGCTATTTGCTATATCATCTGCATTTTATTATTAGGGAGAATCTGCGGCTGAGCGGCCAATTTGGACATGCGTATGCTGATGAACCGCTAGCGGTCGGTAAAGTGTTAATGACGAACTTACTTTCCCGCGGCCAGCATTTCCCAAAAACAAAATAATAATAAAATATTCACATTCCTCTCCCCTACTTGAAATATCCCAGGCAATTTTGCTATACCAGCACCACCAGCTATCCGTATGGTGAGAGTAATTCTCCTGGTAAACACACAGTTTATTTTAACTGGATTATGCATATTTTTGTAGCTAGTTTATCTTCGTCGGACGTTAAATAAAACGTTAATCTGAATTGTTAGACGTTACAAAATATTTCTCTTTGTAATGTAATAGTTAATAAACTACAATGTAAAATATCTGATGTGTACACCACATGACTTCCTTGTATGGAATATTAAACTATACGAATTTTTTCCTGCATTTTATCTAAACTTATTTCCTCGAATTTCATCAGAGATAGATTTCTCATTCAATTCTCACCTCGTGGCAGGGCGAAAATAAATAAAAACTCAAAATATCTTCATTAAAAATTGAAAGATATAGAAAACATAAAACACCAAATACAGTTAAAACAATTTAAAAAAAAAAAAAACAATTTTTGCAATCAAAATTAGAGTTTATACGCAAAAACAAGCAATTTGGCCAGCAGGCAGATTTTTTGGTGCAGAAAGCAAAAAGACAGAAAAGGTGCAGAAAGACTTAATTCACTATTCTGCTAAGTTTCAAATGCAGACAAATATGGTTGCTATGGGGAAAACCCTCTTTTGAATCTATTTTAAATCTATGTTACAATCAGCTTTGGAAAAAAGATGCCTTTATTCTGTCCGTAATTACAGCTGTCATGCAAAACAAAATAATAATAAATGACAGATGGATTCGAGAGGCGTCAAAATTAATATTTTTGTTGAAACATGATAGCCGAAATTTTTCACAGTTGCGATAATTCCTCTACTTCGTAAAATGAAGTAAAAAGAACTCAGAATGCTCTAAAAACTTTAAAAATGCTTTAAAAGAGAAAAATACTCAAAAAATGCGCATGCCAACAAAATCCGGACCTTGATCATAACAGTTTTTGGAATGTTGCATGACATTTCGAAGGAATTTCTTTAATAAATGAAAATAATTTTCTTCTTCAAGCCTATCCAATTCTGGTGCAGTACTAAAAGAATTTTTAAAAGATCGTAGAAAAATGACGTCACTTGTGGCCCAACTCTGTGATAATTTGTATATGGAAGAATAACAAAAGGCTTTGAGAAGAAGCCGTTTGAATCACGTAGTTTCAATCCATTCTTTCCTTCAAATACGGTGAGAAGTAATGTTTCAAGTGGTAAAATAACCATAGTGGTTTCTTGATTTGGCACTGTTAGCCGTTTTTTTTTGTTTGTTAGTCACAAGGACTATTGTTTTCGTTTTGCGATTTTGCGTTGAATCTCTATAAACGGCGAATCACTTTTCAAACTGTTGCCACCAAGTGTTAGATTCCTGCATTATATTTGAAGAAATTACATAATGAAAAATCTGCATAAATGTATGTATATTTCTCGCATTGTGATAAAGCACCGGTACATAAAGCCATCGAATTTGAACCAGTTAACTGTGATTGACGAGTATGACGAGTATACTCGTTATGGAAAATCGACACGATTTTGTGTATTGACGAGTATACTCGTAATGCGTATATTATTTTAATGAAATGGTAAGACAAGATGGAGGTTTATTTAGTAAGTACTGTACATAATGACAACATAATAGAAACAGAGAAAAGAAAAATAATAACAAACCGGAGTTAGTGATTGATTATAATAAAAAAATGGGTGGAGTGGATATGAGCGAGAGAATTATCATAGCGTAGTCCACAGCAAAGAAAACGACTCAAAAAGGTATTTCTCCATTTCTTAGACATTATGTGTTTGAATGCATTCATATTATATAAAGAAAATAATGGAACATGATCGCGTATCAACGTTTTGCTCAAATTTATTGAAGACATTTTTGCGATGTATCCAATTGAAAGAAAAAAAATCGACACAAACTCGGCCATTTAGACCTAATGTAAGCCAATTAGGCGGGAATCATGTTCCGGATTTTATACCGGAACATCGGGGGGGGGGGAAAATCTGAAATGTTTCAGATTTTAAATTACGTCCAAAGGGGCGTTTTTTAACATTTTGTGTGTTACCTTTCTTTATTAAATATCATGTTCCTCGCACTTAAACCATAAGATCCAGTGCAACAGCAATATCGCAAAATAGTTTTAAAACGAGCATATCTTTAGAATTTCCGATACAGAGACTCACGCGCTGGAGATAAAAATGTTTTTTTCTGCACAACGTTTGCCATTGCTCGCTTTGAAATCCTTGAGTTTGTTAATCAAAAATTCGTCAAAGTTTTAAAAAATAGGAAATCGATCATAAAACAAATTTCAAATTTCAAATTTGGTCTTTCCACATGCTCATATTCGTTGGAGGATTACGTTATTCAAAATTCGATGACTCTATGTACCGTTGTTTTATCACAATACGAGAAATATACATACATTTATGCAGATTTTTCATTATTTAATTTCTTCAAATATAATGCAGGACTCTAACATTTTGTGGCAACAGTTTGAAAAGTGAATCGACATTTGAGTCCGACGCAAAATGCCAAAACGAAACTAATAGTCCTTCGGGATTCAAATCCCTTTGGACTAAAAAAAAAAAAAAAACTTACGCGAAGGTGTTTGCATTGCTACAAACGTAAGATCAGGAAGGAATCGCGTAACGTGTTCGATTTGCAAAGTCCCATTGTGTATAGACCTCTTTCGCTGAATATCACTCCATAGCAGGAATTTAAATTCTTATCTTTATATGTATAATATTTAATTTAATTCATTGCGATTTTAGTTTAATATGTATGTAATATATGCTTATGTTAACTAAATGAGTAAATATTAGTAATAAAATTTTCAGTTTTTTAAAATAAACCCATATGTTTCATCCAGTATCTTACCAGCGCCGTTGTTTGTTGTACCGTTGTTTTATCACAATACGAGAAATATACATACATTTATGCAGATTTTTCAT